GCCAGTGTACTGTAGCCTCAGATAAGCACGACACTTAAGCTGGTGCACCGCTCCTGTAACTTTATTTTCGTTTTTTGCAAGTTGCCACAGTATCGTTCCGTGCAACAGAAACACTCGGTGTTGCGATTAATTAACCGTGACGTTTTAAAGCGCGGTTAATAGTGAAATCCGGTAATCGCTGCATCCCTTGTTCACATACAGATTCTATGAATAAAGTTTATGTGTGCAACAAACAAAATATTTCATTTCTTGTATCTGATTGACTTGCAATGTTTCAGAGTTTGACTGGGTTTGGGATGTCAACAGCCGATCCACAGCAACGTTACTGAGCTGCGACAATCGCAAAGTGAACTTCCACTCTGAATACAGCTGTGGGACAGCAGCCATCCGTGGCTCCAAGGAGCTGGCTGAAGGGCAGCACTTCTGGGAGATCAAGATGACATCCCCAGTGTATGGAACTGACATGGTAAACCTCTACTCCTTATGTTCTAGCATTGCTCTTATTATGTACACTCATTTCCCAAAATAAATCCAACGGTAGCACAAACGTTTTGTAAAAGACAAAATCTTAATTTATGCTGTATTGTTTTGTTTCTGTACAGATGGTGGGCATCGGAACTTCTGATGTCAATTTAGACAAATACAGGCACACGTTCTGCAGCCTGTTGGGAAAAGATACAGACAGCTGGGGTCTTTCGTACACTGGTAAGATTAACACAACATGCTAAGATGTAGCAGTAACTGCTCACAATGTTTATTGCATGAGTTAGACATCAGTGTCTTCCTTTTGTCAGGCTTGTTGCATCATAAAGGCGACAAGATGAACTTCTCCTCCCGGTTCGGACAGGGGTCCATCATTGGAGTCCACCTGGACACGTGGCACGGCACACTCACTTTCTTCAAGAACCGCAAGTGTATAGGTTAGTACTGGCAAGCAAAGTCCACTATTGACCACAGCGCTGGTGATTCCTGTTGTGATGATCTGTAGGGATGCACGGAGCAAACTATTCTATTCTGATGCCAATTCTCATATTCCAGGGTATCTGCCAATACAAGTATTGATCCGATAAGAATACTCTACTGGATACTATAGCCCAACTGGATTTTTGAGGCAGATAAATAATCCGATAATGATACATCATACATTATAGTAATGATTTGAACATATCCATACAACGTAATCTTGAAAGGGATCCCTTATATTTGTAGTTTCAAAGTCTTTTAGTACACACATACTTAATAAATATTAAACAGGATATTTTACAGTTTAAAATCAAGTTGTTAGAGCTCTCCTGTGGCCAAATTATGCAGTGCATAGGAAGCATGAATGCAACTCATAGCAGTAACGAAATTTTATTTTATTGGATTGGTGTATCTTTAATAATCTGTTGTCGACATTTGTGCAAATGTACAAACCTTAACAGTCTGATGCATCTCTATAATATATATTTATAAAAGCATATGGTTATGTGCATGAAACATACTGCAAACTTTAACACATGTGGCCCACACTGTGGAATGTTAAGAAGATATTACACATGAACATAAAATATTTTGTCACCATTCTCGATGTAGGTGTTGCTGCCACAGAGCTACAAAACAAGAGGTTTTATCCGATGGCATGCTCCACAGCAGCAAAGAGCAGCATGAAGGTGATCAGATCCTGCTCTGCGCCCACCTCCCTGCTCTACCTTTGCTGCGCTCGCCTTCGGCAGCTGCTGCCTGACTGTATTGACACCCTGGATGTGTTGCCACTGCCACCAGGCCTACGTCACTTGCTCCACAACAAACTGGGTTGGGTGCTCAGCCTCAATAGTGGCGCCACGGAAGAAACCCCAGATGGGCTTGAGCGCCCCTCGTGCTTGCCTGCCCCTGCGCTGGCTGGACCGTCCTCCTCTGAGAGTGACTCAGAGGGTTGTACGTCTGACCCAGAAGCCTGTCAGAGGAAGAGATGTCGCTGGACATGACTGGACGGCTCGATTCCTACCTCCTCCAAAACACTGGTGGATGTTTATTGTCCTATAGCATCTAATCTAGTGTTTCCTGCCTGCCTCAAGCTTTCCTCAACATCACTGTTGTCCAGGAGTGAAGTAAATCAGCAGGGTCGGAGTGGTACGTAGGTGGAAAACTGCCCTGGCGGTATTCCTGCCTGCACGTTTTTACTGTGATCTTCTCTCATGCCATTCAGATGTCTTCATGCTCATCAGTATCCAAACCAGCTTCAGTGAAAAGATGTTATTTTGTTAGTTAGCATAACTCTTTGCCAGGCGTGTATGGGGATTAGTGAAATGGTGCAGGAATAGACTGTACAGTGCAAAACTGAAGTCAAGGGTGGTATATTCGGGGAAAGGGTGGGGTTTCAAAAATGAGAGACAGTATATTTTTTGTTTTCATCTAGTATGCAAATAATGTTTATTGTTCTCAGCCTAAATGCTATCAATGCATTGTCAAAATAATCTCCTACCTGTTGTACTGGCATCTGCAATTTCCTGTTAGGTCGCCAATTTGAGAGTCAGTGGGTTGCTGTCCCTCGTGAGTGGAACAGACAGGAAGTGACATTTCTTATCCGCAAGTTACAGCTCGAAAAACAAAAACTTCAACCGACAAAAATGATCAGATGGTTAAAAAACCTGTTAGAAAGTGTTAGAAGTGGGTGGAATGAACCTGAATGTCCTTTGCAGCTTTTAGTTGTCCAAAAATTAAAATATTCCTTTTAGTCTTTTGTAGAACAAACATCATCTCCAAACAATACACATGATTCCTCATCAGATCATTCTTCTTGAGAGACTTGAGAAAAAAAGTTGAACGTTTGTTACGTTTACAGCAAGAATTGCCTGTTGAAACTAAGTATACATTTTCATTTATTATTGACACATTTTAAGTGATGTTTCATCGCTGTAACACCTTATCTTTAGAGATTTTTAAAAAGTTAGTTGCTTCAACAAAACATGAAATTATGAGCAGTTTTAATGTTGAACTTTTTATGCAAGGGTGATCTTTTGATTTTCCCAAGGACTCCATTGTAATTCATTAAGGTCGCAGCACTCTATTCTAAATCCTTTTAGTATCAAACACTGGGCTCCTGTTGGTCTAAAAGGTTGTAAAAAGTTCCTTATTTTTCCATTAAAGATGGGGTCTGCGATTCTAATCCAATACACGTCTTTTTGTCAAATTCAGCGGAAATCTCCTCACCCACCGCTAGCTGTCAGTTCTGTGTGTGTGCTGAAAAAAATATGTTTGAACACGGCCCTGGCTCTGCAAACGGGAAACAAAGTGGCTCAGATGGAGCCACACAACAATATTCCAACCATTCCAGCCGTGATTTGTGTGTCAGTGGACGTTAATTGACTTGCCCACGGACATTCAGCTTACTTACCAGTTTGCCAAGACATGCTGCTGCTGCGATGTTAGCTGTTGTAGCAGGAGGACAGTTGTGTGGATCGCTGGCTCTGGGACCGTCCCGTCCTCTCTGCACGTTGACTTCGCAGCAGCAACTGTAGCGAAAGTTTGCTAACCCACAACTTAGCTAACATTAGATTCATTACTTGCTGTGTCATTGTTTGGTATTTGTCATGGTATTGGGTTTTTCCATTCGCATGTCGCACCTTTTTTTTAAAGGAGAAAACCGGCTGTGGTCGGTTTACTTGTTGTAATACTGTCTGGTGACTATCACAATTGTGACTGAAGCTGTGGATTTAGCCATATTTTATCATGATTGACAACATATTGGGCACATGACAGCACCGTAGAGAGGTGGATTATGTTGCTGGAGTGGTTTGCAACGTTTGTTTGGATGTTTTGATACTTATTTGATTTTTTCCCCTCCAGGAAATTCACAAAATACAAACATTTTACACACACCTTTCAAGCCTACAGGGGCTGAGTGATGTCGAGATCAATTTAAATGTTAATTAATCTAGAATGACTGAGGAGGGGAACGTTACCCCTGGGTCAGATATGTAAATAACTCTTATTTTTAGTTCCTTAGGAGTATCAAACCATTACTTAATTATTAAAATAGTGTTTGACCCAGGTGTTGAAGCTACACAGTATGCCAACTGCTGCCTCAGCCACCAGTCTTTGATCATGTTGTTGGTTTAAGTAGACATACACAGAGGCTTAAGGTACTATGCAATACCAGCATTTTCAGCAGGTTTTCAGAAGGAATGGGTGTTTTAGGATGAGATTATGGAGTCGCAGACACAGCAACAGTGGTTAAGATACCAGAGGACCATGCTCATTAGTTGTGTAACGCTTCACCAGATTTATCCCTATAGATTTATTAATGTAACTACCAAGGGGATAGTTTTAGTCCAGCAAATGTATTTTTGTGTTATTTCACAGTATTTGTCTTCACGTTGATGCATCCGAACACTTTTTCTTACTGTTGTACTGTAAGTGTTTCTTCTATACCATGTCATAATAATACTGTATGTGAAGGCCTTTACTCGCCTTTTTCTCTATAACTTATCAGCATGATTTTCAGCTGAAAATAAAATGAATGCTAAATAAGGACTGGATGTGTTTATTAATTACCAGGTTTTTGTTTGTTTGATTTTTTTTTTTTTTTGAAGGGGGGGGGGGTGAATTGCACCAAATATTTTGTTTTTAATTGTTTATTCTATTCTTATTCTTTATCTCGTTATTTAAATTTGTTAATATATAATATTAATAATATATAATGTTAATATTTGCTAATATTTGTTTTTATTTATATTTATTCATCGGTATTTGTATTTGAGCTGAGTATTTGTAAAATCCTGACTAATAATTTAAATCAGAATAACCCCACTGTAATTTATTAAATAAATATCTATGTTGAGCCTGCATCAAACACAACAGCACACTCCTCTTGTTCAAATGATATGTAGAAATGATATACACATCTTTACAGGTAATTAATTCTCCATTTTTCAATAAATGCACATGTTGTGATTATTAACGTGTTACCTGAAGCAAAACGTCTCTGCCTGAAGTCTTAATGCGGAACAAAAAGGTGTGCTGGGAGTTCACAGGGGAACTCTTTGCGGTCGGACCAAGTGAGCGGAAGCTGTGTGCCTTGCTTGCGGAGGTCAAGTGGAATTGGACCTGTTCATCAGGGATATTTAGGTACTTTGAATTCCAGATATTTATAAACGGTATCGATAAGTTGTAAATGGCTAAGTAAAATCTGTCAGTCGGGGCACGAAATGATTTTATAAGGTGTTTTTAGCATGTGACGCTAGCTAGCAGACTCAGGTTAGCCTTGTTTTTAGGGCACTAACATGGTTTGTTTATGCTCTACACTGACAATCCATGTTCCAGGTTTAACTTTACATGGATAACTTTCTTCTGTAACCAAAATGTTCTTTATGTTCAGATGTATAATACTCTCTCTAATCTCTTGCAGCACAAACACTGACCAGTGCAGCAGCAGTGAGGGTTGAGGAGTAGTTTAGCTGCTCAACACCAGAGATTAATCATGGTGAAGAAAAAGCGACTTCGCCTCATAGCAGAAATGGCTCGGAAGATCCGGGCGTACCGAGAGCTGAAGTCCCGGCCGCGGGAGTCCGAGAAGTACGCCCTGGACTATGAGAGTATGAGGCGACCGCACACGGGGAAGATGCTACCTGTGCTGGCCTGGCAGGATGTTCGCAGGGAGAGTCGCCTCTTCTCCCTCCTGGCAGGTATGAGGATGTTTGGAGTGGGCCGTCTCTTTACCCGCAAGTCCTGGCTGGAGGACCACACAGAGCCCAGCTACTGGCAGGTCACCAAGGTCAAGGTGGACTACACATCTGAGGTGAGAGCGGGCCACATTCACGCACAGAGAGTCTGCATATTGTCAGTCCAAGTGCAGAAGTGAGTGAAAAGTCAGTTTGGTTTGTCATGGGCTCTGATAACCAAGGGACACCTTGTGTTTTTTTTAGAACATGGACCATGGCAGAGCGTGGGGGGTCCTCACCTACAAAGGTAAGACTTGACACTGTTCATTTGATATGAAACCAGAGCTCAACAATATAATATTTATCTTATTCATCTGTCCTGTAACTACTGTAGAGGACACTGACATCATGTAATTTAGGACTTACACTCTAAAACATAAGCATTGGACATTTATTAGACAGATTACAGTATTTTTAGATGTATAATAATTAAATTAGTCTGTTTGACATGAATAAAGTATTTATGGCAGTGTTGAGAACACTTTGAAACAGCATTTCACATTTGTACAGAAAATATAATTAATACATTAAACAGTTTTTTGTTTGTTGTTTTTTAACTATGTCCCTGTTATCGTGAGCTACACCAGACTCCACTTGTGAATTTATGCATTCACTGAGAGGTCTTTTAATTGTATCGCTGAATAAAGAAAAAAAGCATATACTTTAATAGTAAACTGTTAGCGCTAATAATTCTATTAAAAAAAACTGACATTGTTGCATTTTGTGTTTGGCAGGAAAACAGGAGAGCGAGGTCAAGGAGGTGGACAAAGTGATGTACCACGACTGGCGCCTGGTTCCCAAACACATGGAGCAGCAGTTTAAGGACTTTGAGCCGCTCCCTGACCCGCCTGTGCGCTACGTCCCCTACCCTCCCCTGCTCCGCGCCATGCTGCTGGCCCAGCACAAGAAAGCATTAAGCAGCGTAGCGACAGAAGAGCCGGCCTTGCCTTTAAAGAGGGACGTCCTGCTCAATAAAGACTATTTCCACATGCAGGAACAAGAGAGGCAGAGGACAGAGGGGACAGCGGTGTGATACTTGTGGTTCTGAAGATGAATATCTTGGAGATTGTGGACCAAATCAGTGTTGAAGTCTTCTTCTTTCCAAGTACTCTGGAAGCCCTCGCCTCAGTGTCCTGCAAAGTCCTGGACTCAAATGAATTCTCTGCTATTTTCATCTGAAGCAGACCACTCTGTGTGTAATATGTATCTGTGTGATGTGGTTAATATTAAATTTGGGATAAACTATAGCTGCTGTCAGTGATTTTTGATGCTTTTGTGCCTGTGTTTTAGATCACTTCCTTTCGGTAATGACAGCCTTATAGCACTGAGTATGCACACTAAGCACTTAATGTAGATGTGATGGGCTTACACTCTTATTATGATACTTTAACACCTTGAAATCACCCTTTTTTACCATCAGAGAAAAGGGAGGGGCAGCAGATTCGACTATTGACCACACTGTCAAAAAAAAAAAAAATCATTAGTTTTGGAACAAGAACAACAGAACAAGAGCTAGTAACCATTTGTGTACAAAATACATTGACTAAATGCTGACAGACAACAGTTGTTATATTTATTTGTCTTGATCAAAACTATTATTCGGGACAGTTCAGTAGTCGCTAGACATTGGTAGGCACATCGCTATTAAATTCTACACCTTTGCTCCAAGTGCTCTATGAAACAAACTGTAAATGGCAGCTATTGACTATTAGGACATACATTATTTCATGCACTAGATGGGTTTTTATGGAAGCCCATTTCCACTAGCAAAATAATAAGGTGAAATATTACTTAAAACTCTTAGTTAAGTGTGTCTTAGTCAAACTTAGAGTGCAGTGGGTTATGTTATGCTAATTATTCTAGCAGCATATGTTGATTTCTGATTGAGTGGTCACTGTTGGTGTGTTGCTGCTGTTCTTATTAATGGTATATCACTTATGATTCACTATACTGTATACTATCCATATACCACTTGGATAATAACATGCTCTTTATTCCTGTTGGGGAGTGGAACAGCAGCCACATACCACATGTCAGAGTCAAATAGATATGTCAAAATGATAAGACATAAAGTCACTTATTTTGAGCACACATGATAACCATAGACTGTATAAAATGGACAGCTTATGTAATGTTACACATGATAAAAAAAATATATATATATATATATATATATATATATATATATATATATATATATATATTTCGGCCGCTCCTCGTGATCTACGGAAAACCACGTGCACGCGCTTTGGGGAGCATTCCTAAGCAACGTGCGTGCTTACGTCCGTCCGTCCACCTTTCTTCCGTCCTTTCCCCAGTGCGCTCCGTCCCGCCGGCGACCATGATCTGCCTGTTTCTGTCTATATTTGCCTACTTCTTCCAGTCAGGTTGGTGCAACATCTGTTTACAATTCCTGTATCATTTATCGATCTTCAGTTTGAGTTTGACACGTGACTATATGCTCACAGTTTCCACCATGTGTGGGCAGCAGGAGACGCAGACTCACCGGTCCTCGGCTAGCTGCAAGAGGAGCAGAGTGCGCTGCTGAAGCGATGGAGGCATGAAGTACTTTAAGTACTTTGATGGAGCTTTTGTAATTAATTTAATGTTAAACAAAAGCAGCGTAAAGTCGCTCGGCTATGACGTGAGACTTTTAATACCCAAACTGTGTGTGTTTTACTAATCCAACGTTACACACCCATAGTGGCTACTTGGTGTAACTACCTGCAGCATAGTCCTCCTCACTATAAAATAAGTTGATTCATCGTCCTATTAATAGCTCACGTGTTAGCGCGCTGCCATTGGTGCCTGTAGGAGTCATGTGGAGCGGTGATAGGCTGCTGCAGGAGGAGCGCCGCAATGGGGCCGAAAAAAAGGTCACAGCCAGGTCTGCACCAACTACAAGATTTGGTGGTTAAACATGCACGGATTGAAGACTCTGGTGAGACGCAACATAAGGCGAAAGTGATTTAGATTGAGCCTGGTGTGACTGAGAAACCGCAGAGTTCAGGTGTTTTCTCCTGCCAGCACGCGAGCAGGGTGAGGAGATTAGTAAAGCGTGTTAAGCCACAGTGGTCCATAAAACTAACAAATAACAGACAATATGTGTGGAGACGCATGTAGGTTTTGCTCTAACATGTGTGTGCGCTACTGTATGGGAGGGTTTTTTGTGTGTATCCGCTGCAAACAAAATAAACACCGGTGTTGTGGCCCTGCTGGTTTTCAAACTAACTAACGTGTATGGCAACCACTCCATCCCCAGATTCGTCACACATTCACAAACATTCCTGGCGAGTTTCAAATCGCATCTTTAATCTACTGCGGCGATCATGATTGTATAAGTGAGCACTACATTACAGCGACGTATGAAAAAAGAAATGAAAGAAAATAGACTTTTGACAAAATCGCGTCAAGCTGGATTCGAACTTTTCCACTTCTCTTCCTGTGACTCGGTGTTGACAATAAACTCATGTTTTCACAGTATTGTCGGAGTTAGCTCGTCACTGTAAAAGCATGTGAGAGGGCTGTAATGCAGGGGTCCATATTGCCGAAGCCTCGAGATAAACACCTTGATAAACACGTTCTGGTATTTTTAAGATCGCTCAAGGTAACCAGTTGTTTTAGATCAGCCCAAACAAAGTGTTACCTGGATGATGAGGTGCTTGATCAATACGTGACTGGACAACAGTAATCTGTTTGCTCGGTTAGCTCGGAGGTAAAGTGAAGACCCTGGCGTAGATGTTACCTTTTGCTCAGGTTGAGTTCGAATCCAGCTTGACGCGATTTTGTCAAAAGTCTATTTTCTTTCATTTCTTTTTTCATACGTCGCTGTAATGTAGTGCTCACTTATACAATCATGATCGCCGCAGTAGATTAAAGATGCGATTTGAAACTCGCCAGGAATGTTTGTGAATGTGTGACGAATCTGGGGATGGAGTCCGCTCTAGGTTGTTTGTGTGTGTGTGTGTGTGTGTGTGTGTGTTGCGGCGGTTGCTGTTAACCTTAATTTTTGCAACAGATATCTCTTGGTCTAGGCTGGACCGGGGTGAATGAGCGCACCTTCATTGCCGTGAAACCAGATGGCGTGCAGCGGAGACTGGTGGGAGAAATCATGCGTCGTTTTGAGAGGAAAGGGTTCAAACTGGTGGGCGTCAAACTCATGCAGGTATTTGGGGGTGTAGATTTTTTTACTCTCCCTTGAGACTCATATTTCCTAAATAGTTTTGATCATGGCCAATATAATAAAGTACATTTTCTTGTCCTGCGCATCAGGCATCTGAGGATCTTCTTAGGGAACACTACTGGGACCTGAGGAGCAAACCTTTCTTCAAGGAACTGATCAGCTACATGAGCTCTGGACCAATCGTAGCAATGGTGAGACTCTCACACAAACTGTACACGTGACCACGGGATACAAAGGGCGTTCAGATATTCAGAGGTTTTTGATTTTCTTACTACTACAGCAGGACAGAAGCCACTTGTCTCATCAGTCTCCATTCATAAATGTGATATTTGTGAAAAGCACAAAACCACACTAAGAAAATGTTTGACTTAAAGATGCTCTTTTGCATGTTCTAACTTGGTCAACATTTGATTTGATGAGGCCCAGCGAGGCAGAACTGATATTTGACTGTCAGATGTAATGCCAAGGACAATATCTTGTAATATTGATCTGCAAGCTGCACTCACGTACCCCTCTGTGTTTGTTCAGGTGTGGGAGGGTTTGGACGTGGTCAAGACTGCACGTAAGATGGTGGGCGAGACCAACCCTGCGGACTCGCTGCCTGGAACCATCCGAGGAGATTACTGCGTGGAAGTGGGCAGGTAAGATTCGCCTGATGGTTCAGTTCTCGTCCTGCTGAGGGAAAATGTGAGGGAGACCAGGCTTTTTTTCCCGCAGCAATCTTTTCGCTGTGTGGTAGTAGGAAAAACACAAGGGGTTCGGAAGAACATTACCGTTGGCTCTGCTTTATTCACCTGTCCCAGTAAGACATGGCAGTGTGACAGCGAGGCAGCATGCACAATAACAGGACTCTGAATGGAATTCAGCCATTGTTAACGTGACTATTTACACCTTTACTTTTCCTACTAAGTCAAAATGTGTTCAGTAAAAAAAGGGCTGTATAAATGAGATGGGCATAATTTGTCCTCCAGAAACCAGTTCAACAGGCCAAATGGAGAGTCCAACATCAGTCTGTGCAGGCCCGCACAGTCCTGAGAACAAGTCTGATCAGCCAGTTAATTAAAATTACCTTGGTTTGCCATGGCTGTTCAGGGCTTTAAAACCAAAGCACGTAACTGAGTTTCCATTAGGGACTGAATCATTACCTTCCTTTTCTCTGCTGCATACTCAATACATTTATTGGTTTCATTTCTGGTTACCACTTATAGTTAACGTTCTCCAATCCCATCAAAAAGGGATATAAAATAACAAATAAAACCACACAACTCTTTATTATCAACACCACAGTAGCTCTAAAAACATTCTTCTACAGTTGACTGTTACTACATCAGCAGTTTCAACAGTGGTTACCAATATTAATTATTATATATATTTTAATGCTAAATTAATTAATTTCTTATTGGCAAAATTTAGGACTTTTGGAAAGATGGTCTTGCATTATATGAGGGTAGAAAGGTCACATGACAAACAACCAAACTTTGTGTTCCCTCTGAGATTGTCTTTTTTGTTATTCCGCATCTACAGTCAAAACGAAGCTGAATGATGTGCTGTAGTTTATTTTTTCCTGTAATGGGCTTCTGTCCAGGGCAGATACAGTTTCTCTGTGTCCGAGTGTTCTGAACATTTTTATGTGTGCTGTGCATTGCAGGAACGTGATCCACGGCAGCGACTCGGTGGAGAGCGCCCAGAGGGAAATCTCTCTGTGGTTTCGTCAGAATGAGCTTCAGTGCTGGGAGGACATCAGCAGCCACTGGATCTACAACTGACCGTCTACATTTGCTGTGTGTGTGTGTGTGTGTGTGTGTGCGCGCCTTCCTGTAGAGAAACCAGTGTTGTTGTTTTTTTTAATATTAGCATCATTACAAGACAGATCACATCATACCTCAAATGGATATTTTTGTGGCTTTGATAGCTTGTAGCCACACGGGAGAAAATGTGTCATCACGTTCTTGTTGCGTCTTTATTTCATAAAATGTTTTTGTTTTTTTAAAAATCTGAACTACATTACTGAGGTCCGCTTCTGTTACCGTTTTCATTGTAGTCTTTGTTTAGTCCAGAGCACTAGCTCATGTTTACAGTTTTTAAGCAATAAGCTTGGAATGTCGAGCAATAAAAGTTTGTGATACATATTGCGCATCCGGGAATGACGAGTAAAGAGCTGCATTTAAATCCACCCTCAAGGGTAATTACTATTCAAAGTACAGGAAACACAAATCCTCACATAACTATGCTGGTAAACAAAAAAAGAATTGCTTACTAGCTCAGTTTGTTTTGGATCAAGCTTTCTTTTTCACTTGGAATAAGCTCCTTTCAATTTTAGTGGTGAAAGATCTGCCAAAATATACGCATGTAGTACTATTATCAGCAGCGCAGATTGTTGTACCTTTAAAGGGTCACTTGGGACTACATGATTGTAAAAGGTAGAAGTTTTAAAATATGACTGTTACCAGCTTTCAGTGAGCATAAAGCTCTGATTGTGGTCAGGTCAAATTCAGGAGAAACTGTACTTTATTAATTGTGCTAATATCTTTTGCTCTGTAAAGCTCACATTCAGGCTTTTCTAAAACACTATGATGCTGTGTTAATTGTACTGGAATTGTCGAACAATAAATCTGATCAGGAAATCCTTTTAAAGTGTTTAGTCAGTTGTTTCTGTGTTCTGTAAAGTAAGACATCCACACATTAACCGTAGGTTTTTGTTTTCAGCACACAAATATGTTTAATATTTAATCCACACAGAGATCAATGCATGAATTTCCATACTGAACAAAGAGGATGGGCTTCAGTGCGTCTGGAGATTTACACATCCCTGTACACATAATGACAACACGTCACTGTTCACCTGCTTTACACCGAACAGCCTGATCAAACAGCCGTCAACACACTACGCTCCTCTTTAACGGGTTTAATAACCTCGTTCACACGACTCCAGCATGACTTTTCTGACCATTCATTTACATCAGGCAGCTACACCAGATTTATGTCATGTGGGGTCTGTTATCACACACTAAGTCAGTATCTCCTCGGGGCAGAGAAGGAGCAAACGTCACTAATTGAGACTCTTCAAACAGAGGTGACTGCAAGATTGGATGCAAAATATTTTAGGCAAAAGCCCAGACTTCTGAATTTGACACGTAATTTTGACTTCCCATTTCTTCCATGCTGTCGTACCTTCACTTGCCCTCATTCTTAACAAACCCAAACTCGTTTTACCGTCCACTACAACTTCAAAACCAAAACAAGACTTTGGTTGCTGTCTCACTGAATTTTTTATTTACTCACAAGCACTGTCAAAGACTGTCGATCCATAAACACCTGACATTTGCAACTCCGTTTAAACAGGGTCCATATCATGGCATGAATGTTTATGGATTGTTGATTGGCTGTTAGAAAAACCAGACAGATTTCTGGTGAAAATGCAAGTCAGTGTTGTCATTCACATTTCTGTAACGCCTGTTCTTGTGGGGGTTTTTTGTACAATTGATGCATGTTGGGGCTCTGGGCTTTGCTTTAAGACGAAGGTGGAGGTTTCACAGATAAACTAAGTGGAGGAAGAGGAGGAGTAACTTTGGGGCAGATGCAGGACATTTGAGGTAAATATAGGATACAGTGACAGGGTGAATATAAGATCGATACAGAAGAGGGAGGTAGTTATGAGGCTGGGTTACAAGGCTTATTGAGATAGTAACAATGCCCTGGGTGGGACAGAAACAGGATGGCAGGCAGATTACTAGATCAGAGGAGGTACTTACAAGGCATTAAAGTTACAAGGTGACGGGGCAGGAGGGGATTTAAAAGTTACAAGGGACAATACAAGGCTTGGAGGGTCGTTTTAGAGCCAAGGGGGGACTTTTACATGACCAGGGATAATTACAAGGTTTGAAAGCTTTTCAGGGGGGGTGGAAGAGGAGGAGATGTCTTTGAGCAGATGAGTGGGTGGGGCGTTAAAGCAGAGCCAGGTGTCACTCAGGTATGTAAGACACCTGCCAGACGATAATGTGGCTCCGCTCAGCTTTGCACAAAGCAGGTTTCATCTGCGAAGCTCCCCCATTCTCTCCTTCCTCCGTCTCATCGTCCTCTCCATCTCCTGAGTGAAACAGATAAACACAGAACTTAAGAGCTGTAAATCCCATTTTAGGCTTTTGTCTATTTATTTCCGTATTCCTGTATTTTCTAAACCAACATTTCAACATGCAGGCACTGAATTTGTGCACAATGTTAGGGAAATAATCAAAGATCCATATTTTTAGGACACATTTCAAATCATTTTCAAAAGCTGAGAAGGAGGAAACTTTAAAATATATTTGTATAAGTTTTGAAATGCCAAAGTTAAAGTTTGAAAGTTTTAACAACAGCAGCAACATCAGTACCATTGTTACGCTTGGTTATTTTAATTTGAAATTTTACAGGAAGTCTAAGTATTGTGTTTGGACAATTTGGACCTGAGTGTTCACTGCCTCTAATAGTCACAGCGAGGAACTGCCACACTAAACTGAATTTAATTTAATTACAGTGTTACAGTTCCTCACTGGAGGGCAGTCATGATAACAGTCACATGAATAATGAGTTATAACTGAGAAAATATGTTCTGTGCGTCACAAAGCTACACCTAATACGTGTGTGTGTGTCTGTGTGTGTCTGTGTGTGTGTATGCGTGGTGTCTAGTTTATGTGCAGGTGTGACTGCTTACCAATACGGAAGTCGATGTAGCCCTCCCCTCCACTCAGCACCAACACGTTATGAACACTCTGCGCCTCGGTCTCTTGGGGCGCTGTTGAGCCCTGCCCCTCCGATGGACTGTCCAGCACACTGCCGTTTAGGGTGGCCAGAACATTTCCTGACACACACACAAGAAAAAAACAAAAACAGGTACTAAAAAGGATGTCAAATTTGTGTCTATGTCTCGGTTAAAGTAAGTGACTGTAATCCAATAATCATTTTGTTAAATTCAGTGAATATTTCCACACGGTTTGCTAGCTTTCTGTTTTGTGTGTGCAGTGAAAAAAAGTCTGTTTTTCCTACACAGCCCTGGATCTGTAAACGGAAAACAAAGAAAGGGGTGTGGACCTTGCCACACAGCATTGTTCCAGTCAATCAGCAGCAGGTGGCGTTTAAGACAGACGTTACCTGCTTTAAATTGTTGGTGGCAAATTCCAGTGCGTAAATTAAATGCAGCTAGTAAGAGGGTACACTGAATTCAGAGCACAAGCAAGGTCATGATAATCTGCTGCATCAGCCGACAGACTGGCTTTACCGGGTACGGAGACGAAAAACTTGACAGCGTCACGGTGTCCGTGGAAGCAGAGCTGGGCCTGTGCCATGGAGCAGTAGGGGATGAAGCTGCTGCTGCTCTTCTCAGAGCAGTCGTCGCTGTACACATGGATCACTCCACCAGACGATGTAGGAGACACCTTATTGGCTGAGGGATGAGGAACCCAGGGGTGAGAAATTAACCAACTGCGGATTGTTTACAAGCAAATCGTATGTGGTAGCACGACGCAGGCATAAATAAAGAAAAAAAGACAAATGAAAAACACCCACATATATTTCCACAGATCAACTGAAAATGAGAAATGTTTTTTGAATATTTCAAAAACAACTTCAGACAGCTAAAACACATCCCTTTGCATGCAATAACTCTGGCACACACAAACATCTTTTATTCATTGATGCGATAAATCACAACGATAAATACAATGCAGAGCAACCAATGAGTAAAAGCAGTGTTCTGATGGACAGTAAAAGGTAAAATCATCGCACACAGAATACTTTTGGTGACCTTCAGTTAAATGAAAGAAACTAACTGAGTGCCTGATATGTGTCTTCATTCAGTGACGTTCACATCTTTACTAAGCTTAGAGAAACATGAAGCTTTAGCCTGCAGAAATTGTTTCAGAGGACATGAAAGTTTGACCGGACGGAGGAGGGAGTGAGCGCTCCCACTTACCCCTCACACCAAGGAGCTGTCCCCGGTGAAGGACCACCGCTACAGGAGGCGGAGGAGGAGGAAGGCGGAGGAGAGTGGGAGGAGAGCAGAGGAGAAAGAGGACAGTAACAGTAACAGTTATGACCAAGACTGTCTGTGGAAAGAGGGATGGCAAGAAAACAGAAGGCGGAAAGAAAGACGGGGAGCTCACAGGGACAAGAGGGAGTAAGCTAAAGGAGATCACAGACACAGCACGGCAGTATGTGAGGCTGTTTTGATTCTTCTGTTGGAAAACTGCAGAGTCCTGAGGGGTCAGTTAAAGCTGCCTAATGAGAATTTAAATCGGACACAATTTGATTTAATTTAAAGCTGCTGTTAGTTTCTGCAGTGTCAGTGCAAAGTAATGTAGTGGAGAGCCGGGATGATTGAAACACTTTTTAGATAAACTTCATTTTAAAAGATTAGGTTACAGAGAGAAACAATTTTTTTGTTGTGATCAACAACTCACGTGTGTTCTGTCTATAACAGGTGATATTTTGTACAAACAGCTTGAAAACATCTTCTGAATAACTCTCTGAAAGTGTGACGTCTCCAACCTATTTTTTGCGGTTCTGTACATGTTGATATAGTTTGGCATATCAAATTTGTGTGGGCTGGAGAGAATTGTTGTGTTACTTTTGTCCCATGTTTCATTCGTCCTGGCTCTCCCCTACAACTCATTAGCTGTATTTCAGATAAGATCTATATAGTCAAAAGTGTGCTAAAGCATATTTGCCTTGTACTAATGAACCCAGCAATACAATGTCCTTCGCCACCTCATGGGTTTGGGCTTCATCTCATTAAACAACCCTGTTGTAAAATAACAATGAACCTTGTGACTTTAAGCCAAAATGTAATGTGACCACACGGTGGTGCTGCTGGATTCAGATCCACACCAAACTCACTTATTTGATTAGGCTACTTATGAATTTATGAAACCTGAGTTTTAGAGATATTCTACCAAGTAACATGCAGACAAACAACTGGACCACAAAATAACTAAACTAATGCTGTGTCAAGAGGATTTTAAGATCGCTGAAACTTAAAGATTTTGATAAGAACTGTTAATCACCCCAAAAAACTTTCAGAAACTGTACTTAAATTTGTGGGTTTAGCAGACAGAGGAAGGTTGTTATATAGCCACTTATAATGTGTTTGAGAGTTCATGTGATACTTTAGTCCACACGTCACTGCTGTAAGGTGTATAAATAAAAAGAAACTCACTCTCTGTCAGCGGGATGGAGATGATCACACCGTTTCCGGTTCCTACCCAGAGACGATTTCCACCAATCAGAAGTGCTGTGATTCGCACAAAGGAGAAGCCTAGCTTGCCAGTTCCTGTGAATTACAACCAGAGTAAGCAGAGAACAACTTGACACTGCTGCATGTCAGTGAGAAATGAGAATATAATGAGCTACAAATAGCAGCATCTGTCACATGTTGCAGTAAAAGGTAGCTGAAGTGGGTGTTTCTGTAACTATGGTCATTTTTATGTCCCAGCGGTGACATTTTGGATTGTTAAAATTTGTCATGTGATGCTTGATTAATATATGCATATTGTTTTTACACATCTTGACATAAAACATAATCACAAAATAATATGATTTAATAACATTTATGAAGCATTTTATAGGTCCAAACGCCACTTTTCTTCATGTCCCAC